TTTTTTCTTTTGTGAAAATTAATAGAAAAAAAAAAGGGGGGGGGGGGGAGTCAAGCATTTTATGTTGCTGAGATTTCACTCCCCCCTTTCATTGAAGGACAAGGAAATTGTCAAAATCTCTTAACTTTTCAAATAATTTTATAACTAAATATTTGAATCTGAATGCAATAGCTATGTCTGATTTTTAAAATAGAAAATACTCTTAAATAACAAGATTAAACAATAAAAGGAAAATAACATTCATATAAATTTACACCAATATTTGTCATTTTCAAATATTTATTTCTCACAATGACGACTCATGTTGTCTTATGAATAAAACCAATCTGAAATTAATTTTTTTTTCCAAATTTTGTGTTTTGTAACCTAAATAAAAGTTAAATTTGATTTACTCAATTAAAAAAATGGAGTTTAATTTTAACTAAATCAAGGTTCTAAACACTTTTGCAGCGTCACATCCCCTTTTGATTTCAAAACATTTATCAAACCCACATATCGTTTGTATGATCGAAACATTTTTCAAGCACCCCTATGATAAAAATGTTAATAAAATTGCAAATAAAACTGATTTTCTGGGTCGTCCCACACCCCCAGGCTGTGCAGCAATATGGTTAAGACCCACTGATATAAATTAACAAAACAATAATATTTTTAAAAAAAAAATAAAATCAAACCTGTCCCCACTTGCAACTGTGTGCGGCTGGTATCTGGTCAATCAGTGCACACGTCTTGGGCGCTTTGGCACAATTATCTGGATTTTTAGGACTTATGCAAAATAGGATAATGAACTTTTTTAATGACTTTACTTTTTTAAGTCTGTCTTCGAAACTAAGTTCCGGACAACAGAAACAGACAACAGACTCCAAGGGTCTCAATCTATGTCTCAAATACAACACTAGAAAAAATCAAGGGCAATAGCTCACGTACCTTGTTGATACAGAGTAAACTGCTTCCAATCACCAGTTTCTCGAAGGTTTTCCTCTTCTGGTAAGAAAGATCCCGTCTTGGAGTCAAGCTGGGCTATACCCTCATCCCTGATGGTTTTCCAATTGTTTTTCATCAGCTGTGGAAGTTATTTAACATATATATATATGTTTATTTACCATTGATGACTTTGTTCAATGATTCATTCTGGAGACCAGATAGATAAACACAGAGAAACATATGTCACTGACCAGCACATTTTTACAAGGATTAACCCTCACGCAAAATGAGATGATCCTATAAAAATTCCTGATTGAAGAACTTTCATTGAGTCAGAAATCCTATACCCTATTTCCCCTAGCCCATAAGTTTATATGAACACACACTTTGCAATTAAAGACAATTTAACATTTGCATCAGTGGTCAGCAAACAATTTAAAATGTGAAGCTTCTCCATTGTAAAAAAAAAATGTCCTTGGTCTGACAAGACACAAAAAGGATTCAATGTACAGTGAGATATTCTTGATAGCCAGTTTGTTCTGCTGTCCACCACGGCCGCCCGGTCAAACCATCAACGTTGTAAAGTGATTGTTGCCAGGCAGTTGGAAACAGACCTTTTTTTTCATGATCTTCAAAGTTGCGGTGTGCCTGATGGGAAAATGTAAAGAAAGTTTGATGGTTAAGTAATGGGAGAGAAAAGTTCTCCAGAAAATATATGCATGGGGAATACGAAAAAAAACCCCAGGAATTGTATTGTCTATATCAGGATCATACGCTGGTGGCAGAAACAAAATAGGGCAGGCTACACTGAGCAGGACAGTTAGAAAGAATCCCAAATGAGGAGTGAAAAGGGTGCACCACCATAACACCCAGAGGAAAACAGCTCAAAGGCAGACATCCGGCTTAGATGAATGGATGATGAGGAAAAAGATCTGCATCAGCTGGGAATACAAGAGTGGAAAAGAAAAGCATCAGTAAGTTCTGAGTGGAATAAAGTGGTGAGGCGGGCCAAAGCCCTACATGGGCAGTAGCGACACAGGGATGGATGAATGGTAATTTCATTCATTTTGTCAAACAGATTTTTATATTCTTATATAAAATGAGTAAAACAGAGTAAGGTTAAACCTGAAAAAAGGAACACAACAAAAAAACGAACGTGTCGGCAGAAAGCCTTCGTCAGAAAACAAAACAACAGAAAAGACTGTATAAAAATAAGAAATTGTACTTAGCTTAGAAGTAGTATCCGTGGGCAGCAAAAGAAATGTGACAGAAAGTAAGTGAGTGAGAGATTAAATAGGGAAGAGCGAAAGAAAAGAGGATGCCACCATTTACCAACTTGAAAATCGCATCCTCTCTAAGACCTCTATTAACCACTTATCGTATGACCTTATTAGAATGATTATCCACCAACTTAATCGGGAACTGCACAGCTTCCTCTTTACCAACAAAAATAAAAAACTCGACAATCTTAAGCCCACTAACAACTCTACACCTCATCAAACTGTCACTGGCAACAACTTAGTCATTTGCTTCCCCCCTGAAATTCCTCTCTCTGATGATGAAAGTCGCTACTTTCTAAGGGTCTCAAATTTATTCCACTGAAACCATCTTGCGACCGCTACCCAATACTTTTGGATTCCCACCGCTACTTTCGTTCCTTGAGACTTCAGTTCCACTTTGGGTGGGAAAAGTACCGACCTCCCCGAAGACAAGCTTTTCCCGTTCACTAGGGAACACAAATCTTATTTGACTCAACCATCTAATCAATCCAAAGTTTTAGACTTGTATATAAAGAGCACGGAAAATGACATCAAGAACTTCTCTTTGCCTCCACTCCAGAAATCCAATCTGTCCAAAAAAGAATCACTAGGACTCTCCAAGCTGCGCAGTCGGAAAGATATCGTCATTAAACCAGCTGACAAGGGTGGAGCTGTTGTTGTGTGGGACAGAGATCTCTACATCAAGGAGGCTCATAGGCAACTAGTAGACAGCCAGTTCTACCAAAAGAGGACCAACAACCCTATCACCAAACATAACGACATGGTGAAAGAGACTATCAAGAAAATGATTGCAGAATCGGCACTCCCTAAATCGGCCTCTGCCTTACACATCTTCGATAGTGACCTCGGTAAGCCATGCTTCTACATACTTCCCAAAATTCACAAGTATGGTAACCCTGGCAGACCCATTGTCTCAGCATGCTCTTGCCCCACCAAAGATATCTCGGATTTCCTTGATTGAGTTTTTCAAGCCATCGTAGCCTCACTGCCAACTTACATTAAGGACACCAACCATGCTTTACAAACCTTCGAATCTATCATAATCCCTCCTGAAAAGAAACATCATCTATTTTTTCTTGATGTATGTTCTCTGTACACTTCCATCCCCCACACTGATGGTCTCTTAGCTGTCAAATTCTTTCTCCAGACTAAACCCCACCACTCTTTACCCACAAACACCCTCCTCAGATTGGCAGAACTAGTCCTCACGCTCAATTCGTTTGAGTTTGGTGGTCAATTCTTCTACCAAATCAGTGGTGTTGCTATGGGGACTAAAATGGGACCCAGCTATGCATGCTTGTTCATGGGGCATTTCAAACACATGGTCTAAAGCAGCTATACTGGAACCTCACTGGAATTTTATAAGAGGTACATAGATGACGGTATAGGGGTCACCACTATGGAGCGGAGTGAGCTTGACCTGTTCATTAACTTTGTAGGCTCCTTCACCCCTCCATTAAATTCACATCTCTTGTCTCTGAGACCTCAGTTCACTTTTTGGACATTACAGTCACTCTTCACAATGACAGCCTACTCACCTCTTCCTACTTTAAGCCCACTGACAGCCACAGCTATCTACTCTACTCTTCATCCCACCCTAAATCCTGTAAAGACTCTATTCCTTTTTCTCAATTACTTCGTCTTTGTCGACAGGGGGGGGTGGAGTTAAAAAAAAAAAAAACAAGATGGGGGCTGCACTGAAAAAAAAAAAAAAAAAAAAGGTGGAAGACCTCTGCTTTAAAATGGTTTAAATAAACTTTTAGTAATAAGTGTCTTTTTGGGAAGATCAAGTTGTAAAATATGGACCAGTGTTCTCTACCTTTGAACCGCTTGCC